CACCAAACCACTTACCAAATATCCCGGCAAAATAGCCAACCCACCCTAACTACCCTTAAATAGTGGGATGCAGGTTTTTTCATTGGCTGCAGAGGCATGGAAGTCCTAGCTGGCCTTGGGTAAGGTGACCATAGTCACCTGCCACACGTCAGCCTGCCGAGGTCGTGCTGGCATGACACCTAGTATATTGAAGGGAAGTGACTATAAAAACCAGATAACAGAACCACTTCGCTATACTTGACAGCTCACTTTGCAGCTGGTTGGCAGGTGCTTGAATTCCAATGTTTTTGGATACCTTTCCAATGAATCCCACGCAGTCATTGATCGTCTGTATGATGAACACTCATTTTTGACACTCACACAGTGCGACTGTGATTCATTCCAATATGTGCTGTTGAATAGCACAGGCATAGCAATGGTTTGATTGGCGGTGACGTAGTTGTGAAGGAGACCAGCCGGTAGAAAATCCACAAAGACCAAATCTTTTCCCAACCTTAAAGACAGCGCCCGCGATGGACTTTGGCAGGTTTTAGGGGTCAGATTTGTTAGAACAGGTGGCAAGTGAAGCATTAATCAAAAAAGTAGGAAAAAGGGTGCAAGAACATGGAATAAGACCCTATTCGATTTAAGGCATCTGGACGAGTTTCGCAGATTTTGGGTGAGTTCTCCAATACACGTCGCCGCCTCGTTGCGGCTAATTCTCATGAGGCCACTACCTAGGTTATCTAATCTAATGAATCCACATTGGCATTGATAATCGATCTGTCTATGAGTTAATCTCCCTATCAGTGTACGAAACAAACGCTAGAAATTTAGCGGTTATCAAAGCCAGCAAGGATTGACAACTGTTAACCAATCGGGGCGGGATTAACAGACACGAACAGGCGGGGTTCAGCTTAGCATTGTTGACTCCGCCCTCGTCAATGAATCGATTTCGAGCCGCAAAGCGTGGGACTAATCCGCTTGTGCTTGTGGATCCGCGAGTCTTGTACAGTGGAGGGGTTTTTTCTATTTTTTGTTTTAATGCCCTGTAAATTCAGTACTATTTGCACTGAAACTAGTAATCATAACCTCCTTTATCCCAAATAAGGTTCCAAAAGCTTTCGTTCACCTGTTGTGGATTAAATAACGGAATGAAGGAATAGCAGAAGAATCTGTAATGAGAGCGTTACGCCAGTTCGTAATTATCGGTAATGTGTCTACGTTCCCGGGACTCCGTTTACACTTTTTGGAAATAAGTTATATGTTTGGAAAGATTAGTGTGTATTAGGAAGCACTTTTCGTTGAGATTAGTTGTTCGTCATCCGTAATCGCGAACGTGTCCTAACGCAAGTGGTTTTTTGCCGCTTGAAGAGTCACGAAAACCCCCTTTGACGTAGTGCGTCCTTGTGCCCTGACTATGAAAGTGTTGTTCCAGTGCCAGCTTCCTCTGCCCTACTAGGGAAAAGCAGTAGTAACTCGAAATGTCTATTTTAAGCGAGATGTATGAGTTAAGAAGGTAGAGCGTATTCCCATTAAAGGACGAATGCGACAGTTGGTCCCTCAACTCTGCTTAAATTGCGTTTACCCTAATCTCTCGCCCAAAAATGTGAGCTATGGTAGAGACTTATAGATCAATTTATACCGCGAGGTTAACATGTTAGTGCGTCGAATAATTATTTACGGCTTTGAGCTTTTAAAGAGAGCCGTCAACCAAATGGAACTGGACTGCGGCAAGAAAGTAGCCCTGAGTCAGTTGCTCAGGTGACTTGCAAAGTCCGATATTCGGACGAGTTTCCGTACGCATTCGTCTGCCCATAATCACCGCTACCGAAGATACGGCTGCATATTTGTACCCATATATGCATGCAGCATCACCGCCGCTTCATACCAATCCCTTTGCTTCATAATTTGCTCAGCAAATGAATGAATACGAGCGTCAGAAACGGTCGTCCGTTTGTGGGCGGGCGGGCAAGGAAGGCGTTTGGGACGTAAAGTTGTTGCTCAATAGGGCGTTATAGAGGTACCCTCCTTGGAAAAGGCTTCACGCAGCGCCTGTCCGAGGTCACGGAATTCTGTTAAGCCAGTTGTACAAATTCTACACCTGTATAGCGATTTATCGTGCCAACTGTTTAACGTAAAGACGCCTGTAACAATTGTGTTGCGGTAGCACAATAGTTTATGTCGACCTCATGTCTGCAACTCGAGGGTACAAGTCAGCGAGGTGGAAGATTGTTCAAACGTCCTTAGGCATAAGGCACGATAACTTGGTACTCTGTCTGAAATGGTAGCACGGGTACTTTACAGTGAGAAAATGACGAAAAAGCGAAGTGAAGCGTCAATACCTGCAAAAAAGCCCTTATTCTCCACTTACTCCTACTCAGGAAAGCTATCTCGGGCGAGTTCCCTGTTGGCATCGTGCCAATAACCGCTATGGTAGATACGGCTGCACACATGTACTCATATTTCCATGCAGCGCAGCAGCCCCTTCATATCGAATCCTTGCTTCATATTGTACTTCGCAAAAGTAAGAAGCTGGATGAGCATCAGAATCCGTCGGGCTTTTGTAGGCGTGCGGGCGCGGTACGCATCCAGGTTGGTATGCTCCAGCTTGATAGGGCAGCGCGTGCTCAACGGTGCCGATTTCTGTGCTGCTAGACGTATTAATCCTACATGTCGTGGGAATTTGTCGTGTTTTTTGCCCTCAGTGGAGCCTGAAACTGTTATCTGGCCTCCTGGGCCAACGTACTCCGAAGGTAGTGGACACGATAAATTTCTAGACTTGTAAAGTCGCTAAGCAGGAAAGAGTTTTACCTATGAGCGCAGGCTGCGTGAGCCCTTTCCAATGAAGAGCACTCACTAAGTATCTCAGCTAGGCCTAATGTGCCACCCGCCTAAAACCTAAAATCACTCATGTGACCGACCAGCAGTTGATCAGGTCAGTACTTGGCACCCTGTTCATGTTCTCCTATACCCTACCCCTACCCAAGTCTGATTCGACCTCTCCAAGGGTTTTTCAGGTTGTGCTGCATTCTGTAATGGACAAACGCGCAGACAGACTAAGGACAGACAAGTAGGCACGAGAATCGCTCGACTCACGCTGAGGAGGAGAATTCGCCACTGTTCTTGAATCGAAAATCGGTTCTGAACTATACACAATATCGTCAAGAAGAAAATTTGTGTGCATGAGTCTTCCACCGTCCAGAACAGGATTCCTAGCGCGTCGACGGGCGTTTTTGAAACTCTGAACGCGGCCCAAAAAAGGAAGGGGAAAGAGTTGAGTGGAAGCGGGAAATGAGGGACAGGGAATGGGGAGAAGGTTGAAGATGTGCAGTGAAATGCAGAATATTCCGAAAGTGCGCTCCGTGGAAGAGCCGTTGTTCAAGATGCATCTCCATCTGAAGGAAGTGAAAATTAATTATCAGTATCAGGTGTAGCAATTACAGATTTTGAACGATGCCTCGTCACTGTGAAGTAGAGCATCACTCAGAAATATCAAAAGGAACGCATGAGGCAGGATCGTTTGAGCACAACTTTCGCCTCTGGCTCATCTACCCAAACTTACGATTATTTCCCCCATTCAAATATTCCTGTAAGCCTGTGAGCATCCCGAAAAGACCTTGCGTTTCACACTGGTAATCCCAAGAAACGAGCTTCATTGATTATTCTTGAGTTCTTTCTAAATTGAGCGAAATTTTCAAGTAGTGGCGCATTCAAGAGCAGCTACTTTGGCCAACGGCCGTACTGCTAGGTGGGAAGTGTGACGTAGTCTGCCGCACATCGACGTCGTTTAGCTTTTTGAACCGCATTCAACTGACGCTCTCGGCAAGCCGAGTTATGGATTTTACGGAAGCAGCCGTGGTTCGACGTCACGCTTTGCGAACTCCTCGGTCGGCCGGCTCTCTCAATCCCTCCCACGAAAAATGACATAGCAGCATAGACATGCAAAAATCTTGACTACTGAGGAGAGAGAGAGCACCTTTTCCTTCTCGAACTTTGCAGGAATGTAAGTGTGCAGTGCTATGTAGCACTTCTGACATATAAAAGCACAAGCTTCACTATCGAAAGACATTTCTTGCAAAATGTTTAGGTTTATCTGCGCTTCACAGGAATGCATCTAACTGCACGGGTCAGAGAACGCAGCGTGGTTTCCCGTTTGTCCCTTTGCTATTTATTGCGTGAACTCTGCGCAGATAAACCTTTGACAGAAAGGCGCATTCCATGGGCAAAGCTGCACTTATCATAACCGGTTCTACCCACAAGACAACCGTGGAATGTTCTTTTCAAAGCGTTTTGCGTTTTCAGAGAAACGAGCTCTAAATTCTGTATGATTTTAGTTATCCTTGGAGAGGGAGCATCCTCTTTGACGTGAAGCTAACCAGAGGAGGCAGTTCGAGCACCGGTGAGTGGGAGCGGGGGGGCAGGGCAGGGGGGGGAGAGGGTTCGACCCATTTAGAAAGCCTCTTCTCGAATTGACAGGTTTTACAGTGATGGCTTGAGGAGCCTCACAAGAGTTCACAGGTTTCACCAAAACCGGAACGGGTGAAGCAACGAAAGTACAAAATGCCCTCCCCCCCGTTGCCGAACTGCGCCCCATAAGAAGTTTATGGCAGGCTTTCAGATGTTAGAAATTGCCTTGGTTAATAGCAGAAGTACTGATAAGAGATCGGAGAGTGCGGCGGACACAAATGTTGGTCAGATTTTAGGCCGTAAAGGGTCCTGGAAGGGACGGTCCTTCACGCAAAAGTGCCTCTGCTTCGGCTTGCATGGGAGAAGGAAATCGCTAATCTTCCTAGCTGGGCGAACGCTATAAATTTGATAACAATGACAATTGAAGATTTCAGTGCCATCTTCGCTGAATAAGGGAGAGGAAATACAAAGACAATACAAGGCTTACCGCCCTAGTATTATCACTCTACAAACTAGTACTACAAAAATTATTTTTTAGAACAAAAAATTTGTCCTTTCTCGATAGTATCAGTAACTTATTTTTGAGTATATTTAGCAGTTCATTTGCATAAATGTGGTGGGCTTTTTCAGAGGTACTGATCGACGAGTTTGTAAAGGAAGGCGACATCGAAGAAGACATGCGGGATGAGCTTCGAGAAATCCTCATGCGGAAACATGTTCATCAATACGAACAAGTGAGTCTTCCTGATGAAGAAACTATTGAAATTGCCGGGTTGGAATCAAAAGTGGCGGAGGTGATGAAGTGGCAAGTGTCTCGCCTACCACGCACGTGGTCTGAGGATCAAATCCTCCACGGGATCTCGCTCAGACCAGTCAAGCCCTTTCACACTCCGGGGCCGCTGAACTCGTTCTCTGAAATAAAAACAGTGACTAGTACATTGCGTGGCTCCGCAGATCGTTTTGTGGCCACATAATGTCCATTCCCACGATTCTATATGGAAGGAGTGCGTATTCAGGAAGGGAATGCAGCAGTGAAACCAATTATCGGTCCATCCTTTATGGCTCGGAATCCCAGATTTTTTTCAGAATACTGGGGGGGGGGGGGAAGGCGGCGGGAGAGGGAGAGATGGGACATTGTTCCTTTAATTTTCTATAGAAGGATGAGGACTAGGTGGGGAAAGGTGGTTAATTGAAAGTAAAGATCAACGTCGTCTTTTCAGCCCACACGGAATAAATAATACTGAAAACTTTCTCAGTGGCAGTTTAAAAACAGTGCTTGAACACTTTTACGTTCTTGCGATTCTTATATGGGTGTTATAGGCAAAGAAGAATGGCCCCAACGGTGATAAAAGCGGTTTTCTCAATACCGTCCGTTCGATATCTGACATAGGAAAGTCGTTTTCTCATGGGCGAAACTTAGGGAAGCTGGAAAAGGAACAGTTTGGGCCACAGCTGGAGCTGCCAAAGGTCAGTCCATCTCACAAATAATGCCAGCTTTTCGAGTAATAGATGAAAATAAATATTTTAATTGCTGGTGAAATCCAACTTTCTTAAAGGTGGAATCATTGCCACGAGACATGAACAAAGACGGTTCATCAGGAGATATCAGCAAAGGCAACACACATTTCCTCAAGAAACTTCCGCCTGGCGTCGAAGCAAGCAACGTCCTGATTGGAGAGGTAATTTTTCGGAAGTCACAAAATTCAGCTTATTCACAGTAGCAATAATAAATGGGTTCTAGTGAAGCATCTTGTGTACGGGAAGGAGGCAGGGAAATCTGCTGGATTCTGCTATTCATATATGGGGAGCTGGTCAGCCGCGATTGGACTATCAACAGAGAAACTCGGTCAAATTGGTTCTTTTTATCTGTGGGATTCCCCGACCAGGGCGCAGCATCGTGATGTGTGAAACAGTGGTGTAGGTACGATTCCCTCCCCCCTCCCTCCGAGAGAGGGTTTCAGTACGACCAGTTTTCCAGTTTTTCAGCTAGAGATTCCACGGAGAGGGGGACATATAGTACACATGAAACAGGAAAATCACGCGAAAAGTCAGCAACCGGGAAAAATTCACACAGCAAATTTCTCTTAAAGGCACATGCGACCCCCCCCCACTCTCCCAACTACTAAATACGACCCCCCCTCTCCGGCGGAAAAGTTCGAGCTCCCCATGCGTTTCATACAACGATGCTGGACCCTGTCCCGACAGTGTCCAATAACACTTTGGAGTTAAAGTGTATCCGAAGACTCAGAACAAACGACTCAGATTGACGTGGCGTTCATTTGGAGGTTGAGGGAGGTGGGAGTAGGTGTGCTCAATCTTCCACCTTTTGAATCTTTGCCTACAACAATTTTTGAGGACCAAATTTTCGATTTTTTTACCGTTTAGGTGGATTTCCTGCAACGCCATATCTGTGCTTTTGTTCGCCTGAAGACGGCTCACGTTCTCGGTGACCTTACTGAGGTATGTTCAGAGGCGTAGCGGCAAGAACAAAGCGGTTTTTGAGCTAAGGTTCGAGTTGAGTTTTTGAACTCGTTAAGGTGCCCGTTCCCACTCGATTTATATTCCTGATGCTGGGCCCTACAGGACACGGATCTCAATACAAAGAGATCGGCCGCGCAATAGCCACTTTGATGGCCGACGAGGTTCGTTCGTGATGTCTTGTCTGAAACATATTCCGTAGCGCTCCATCATTTTAGATTTTCCACGATGTCGCCTATAAGGCACGCAACAAGGAGGATTTACTTGATGGCGTGGACGAGTTCTTGGACCAGGTAAGGGACTTGAGAATTGGGCAATATCGTCCCTCGTATCTCTTCTTCCCTTGTTAACTTCTCACACTCATTCAAGAAATTATGCTCGCTTAGCCTAATCACTGGTTACGGCCGAATCACGATCTTTGCTCTCGAATCCTGGGGTATCATTTGATCATTTACCAATTCCATTCCAAGTAAAATCTTCATAATTAGTGCTCTTCGTTCTTACTGCCTATTTATTCCTGGGGATTCGCCTCGATCCCTCTCCTTGTGGGCCCTTATGGGCTTCAGGTAACACAGAAGCGAATGTTTCAGATAGATAAATTTCCTTTTCAAGGTGACGGTACTGCCCCCTGGAGAATGGGATCCAACCATACGTATAGAGCCGCCAAATCAAATTCCTTCTCAAGAAAAAAGGAAGCAGGTAAATTTTCTACAATTCATCATGACCATCCATCTATGAGATTGATGAAGTGGTAAAGTACTATCTTGCAATTGTTTCCACTTGTGTACATTTTTAGATTGGTCAAGAGATGCTTCTGGAAGGTGTCGAAATGTCTGCCAAAGGTCCAGGCAAAGGAAAGGAAGAACTGGAAGAGGAAGGTGGGTTTGCTCATCTAGGTTTGCTCATCTATTGTTTTGGTCTATCTTTTAATTGGAAACGAGCGTTTTGATATAATCTTCTACAAGTTTATGGAACTCAGTCTTTATCACGCAGTGAGGTCCTAACAAAGTCTTTGCCAGGTCATGGCAGCGATCCAGCTCTAAAGCGTACTGGTCGTTTATTTGGTGGCTTGATATTGGACGTCAAACGCAAGGTTAGCCTGTGCTTCCATTTGAAGGCATCACACAAATGCTGTGAAATCTGCTCCATATTCTTCTATCTTAGCATCTCGCGTTCAGGCACCACATTTTGTCAGTGACTTCACCGATGCATTGAACTTGCAATGTTTGGCAACAGCATGCTTCATGTATTTTGCCCTTCTGGCCCCAATCGTCACATTTGGTGGACTGCTGGAGGAGGCCACTCATCAGCGGATGGCGGCTATGGAGAATATCCTTGGAGGTCTGTTCTCTTTCTTAGAGTGAAAAGTGATGGGCTATACGCGTTTAAAAATCCTTCGTATGAGTCCTTGTTAGATTTCCTGGGTGAGAAAAGGCTGGTCCAGTCTTTTGTCAGGAACTGTTCTGTACAGCAAATGCAAACAGTAATTCCATATTGCCGAAAATAAAGCATGAGGTCTCGTTCATATTTTGCGGCAGCATTCATCAGCGACCAACAGCGTCCACCAGCGATCAGGAGTACGGTGTTGCTCAGTATTAGGGTGCATTGGCACACGCCATAATTTCACAACGTCTAATCCAGCTTTCTCCTCCCTCCTATGTAGTTCTCACTGCTCTGCCAGCAATCTGCTCTGCTACACTACTACTTCTCCATAATCTCTTCCCGTGGTTGCTGGTGGACACTGATAGACGCTAGATCAATATCCATACTTTTCTAGTCCCTCGAGACGCTCGTGGTCACTGGCGCACGCTGGTGGACGCTGGTAGACGCTGCCGCTCGCAAGATCGATATCTACTCCCTAGTAGCTGACGCTGACAGACGCTCGAAACGTTAATGGTCGCTGGTGAACGCTGTCGCAAAGTATGAACGCAGCCTGGGAGCTCTTGGAAACTTTTTTGTAGGCACTCAAGATTTTTGAGGAGGTGAAGCTTGGCGTGTGGGTTATTGTCCTGTAGTGCTACATATTGCTGTTAGGTTTTTGGATAGCTGATTTCTTGAGTGGGGGAACGCCCAGGTAGAAATTTTTGCTAACTAAATAAGGTATTTTTACGGGATTCTCCCTTTTTTCCCCATATGAGATTTCAAATTTCAGGTGCCATATGTGGTGTGTTGTATCACTTATTCTCCGGACAGCCGTTGACAATTATTGGTTCCACTGGTCCGGTGCTGGTGTTCGAGACGATCGTCTATGATTTCTGCCTTAGACTCGGCATCAAGTATCTCAGTTTCCGTTTCTGGGTTAGTTACTGCTTGTTTTCACCTCTAGTTCCTCTCAGAACCATCGTCGAAGCTATTTTTCTGTGAAGAGAATGATATGTGAGACTCAAAGTTACCATGTTTGTTTGTTTAGGTGCACGTGTGGACGGCGGCTATCGTATTCATAATGTGCATTACTGATGCAAGTGCTCTCGTAAGTCCGATTTTTGAACCTTAATCGAAACTAGTGTTTATGAAAGGATGACAATTTCGATTTTTTTTATGGTGCAGGGAATGGCGGGTAGGGGTAGGGAGGGAGGGTCCAACTCCATATTGAACTGCAGGAGGGTCCAACCCTTTGAGCCCGACGAAGGCATCTCCCTCGTGTGCTTTCCAGTGTCCCTCGCCTTAGCCCGTGGCCTCCCGCCGTTGGTGGAAATTTTTACGGACTACAACCACGCCCCTCAAAATTTCCCCCTCTGTACGACCCCGCGTTTCCTGCTACCACCTTCTCAAAGTGTCCGTTCTTCCAGTCATTTTTCCGAAGTATTTTCTACAAATTTTCCTGTTTTCCTTTGAAGACTGTCATCGAGCAGGGAGTATGTAGCGCACTTAGGAAAAATCGAAAAAAAGGCAACAAAGGTTTTTCTCAAAGGCAATTATGACCCGCTCACTCCATCCAGCGACCATCTACAACCTCCCCAGTCCGCTAGTGATCCCCAGTGTATGCCGTGAGCTGAAATGGCATGTGGGAATAGGTACTGGAGATGTTTCTGTATTGCAACTAATTAAGGTAGTGATTTGTGAACGTTTCAGGTATCGTACATCACTCGTTTCACAGAGGAGTCGTTCGCAACGTTGATAGCCGTGATTTTCATCTACGAAGCCATTATGAAGTTGTGGAAGATTAAATGTGAGATTTTAAGTAGATAATTGCACTGATTGCCAGCCGGAAGACATGAAAGGTAGCAGGGCATACCCTCCGTACCGGGACCAATAATGCGGCGATCATACGTCGTGACTGGATTGCTGCTGCAGTGGCTAAATAGAGTCCCTTCCTAATTGCAATTGAGTAAGTAGTGCGTCCACCGGGCCGGTCGCGATCAGTTTGGAAACCGCACGAGTGAACCGCTTGAGTCGCGAAGTATAAACACAACACAGCAGTGCGCCGCTATTGGAACGTTCAAGTTACGTTGAGACGGCATTTGGCCTAGGCAAGGTTATTCGGCGTTGTGTGCCTCACGGGGGACCACCCGTAACGATGCTATCACACGTCATGTCTGCACTCCTTACCCGAGGCATGACATGTTCTAAGATGGCTTGCTCAACATCCACATGTCCTGAGTTAGGCTCACTAACCTTCGAGGCAGCGTGTACTCCAG